CCAAATAGTTCCTTACAGCATACCTCAGTTTTAAAGGCGTGGCATTCATTGTGTTTCAGATTTCAAAAGCCTGAAACTTGGCATAATTCTTGACATGCCTCATACACTCTTTCGTTTTCTTTTGTTTTCTTTCTTTCTTTCTTTCTTTCTTTCTTTCTTTCTTTCTTTCTTTCTCTCTTTCTCTCTCTCCCTCTCTCTCTTACTTTCTTTCTTTCTTTCTTTCTTTCCTTCCTTCCTTCCTTCCTTCCTTCCTTCCTTCCTTCCTTCCTTCCTTCCTTCCTTCCTTCCTTCCTTCCTCTTTCCTTTTTTTGTCTATCTTTCTGTCTTTTCTTTTTTAGAAGATTTTATTTATTTATCTTTAGAGGGGAAGGGAAGGAGAGAGGGAGAGAAATATCAATGTATGGTTGCCTCTCGTGCATCCCCTGCAGGGAACTGGCCTGCAACCCAGGCATGTGCCCTAACTGGGAATTGAAACTCCATCCTTTGGTTCACAGGCCTGTACTCAATCCACTGAGCTACACCAGCCAGGGCCTTTCTGTCTTTTCTACCTTCCTCTCCTTCTTTTTTTTTTTTACACATTTTTCAAGATAATTTAATTTACAAAAAGAAAACCGAGCATTTAACTCACAGGCCTATGGCCTTCATTTGACCCCAAAATAAGACCACAATAAAAAAGAACTGTGAGTGAGACCTGTCAGGCTTTTAGTTACCTGAGGGCAATAGTCAAGGAGTGACTTAATATCCTGGTTGCTGAGGGAAATCAGTTCCTCCTGCTGCACAGTCAGTTCAAGGATGTTCTGCTGAAACTTCTAAGTGAGGTTTTTATGGTGACACCTCACCAGAAGCTCACCTCAGCTCACTGTACTAGCACCTGCCCAGCTGGTACCAAAAGGAGGCTGGCAACAATGCTGGGTCCTCTATGAAGCTATCAGATGATAACAAGCCCACTGTGGTTATTTTCCATTTCCTCCCTTTTTTTATTTGACAAATATATTACAATTATGTGGAGTAGAGAGAGTCTTTGTGTTGAAAACCTATTCTGTTTTCCTTTTCATAAAGAGACTTTAAGTAACCAATGGATGCTTGTATTGAGGTAGTTTTAAAATCTGTTGAAAGGACAGAATTTGTGAAGAAAGGTTGCATTACACCTAGGTTCTTCCACGAACTGTTTTAACTGGGAAGTTATGTGACAAGAAAGCATGAACCTCTTTTCTAGGAAGTTCTAATTCTTGATCTCAATCTCCTCATCCCCACATCTTTCTTTTGACCTCTTTTATTTTATATAAGGAGATTTCTCAGGTTTTTACATCAGTGAACGGTGCCATTTCACAACATACCAAGATGATTGCATTTTTGAAGATCCCACAAATATTCAGTCTTGACAGAAGGCTTGCTGGAAAATATCTGAAGTCCCCTACAAAGAACAGCATAGGACTAGTGTTTCTCCCTTCGAAACTAGATTTAGCCCTGAAAAGCAACCATTATGTGAATGAGGAGGACAGAGGAAATCACCAGAAGCCAGAGGATTCTGTAACAGAATGACTGTTCATTAAGATAATTTTATGACTTGAGTCTCACATAGTGGAATGCCTTGCAGGTCCAAAGCATGTGTATTCTAAAGATAACATCTGCGCTTAGTTTTTGTTCATGACTTATTTTGTTTCGACGGCCCCATCAGACAGGGCAGATGAGAATGGGCCTCTCGGATTCACCATCCATGTGTTGATTTGCAACCTGCTGTACAGAAAAGTCGTGGGATGGGGACAGAAAATCCTCTGATTGAAATACAAACTGGTTTTATAGGAGGAACACAAAGCAACAGCAGAGGTGAATACTAACAAGTGACTTTCCTCTTGCTATTCAGAACAGACAAGGTATTGTGTGCCATACTGGTTGATCCAGTCTTTAGTTTCATGGTTTTTGCTCCTTAGGCCAGAATATTGGCCGGTCTTTTTTCAGAAGTTGTAATTATTACACATTGTGCCTTCAGGGCATGAAAGACCCAAGAAGCTTCAATACTGGAAACTGTGAGTTCAAAAATAGCCAGGCACTGGGTTCAGCTTTTAGATTTTTACCAGCAACCCGAAATTGATCTATTTTTTTAAAAAAAGACAGAAATAAACCCAATGACTCCTTCTGTGTTTTTATCAAAATTTTAAAACTACAACAAACAACTTGATTACATCCTTCACCAAGAAGGAACTTTGCACATGAAAGACTTAAAATGTTTTGTAGAGCAGAACATTCTTTGAAAGCTCTGGGTGGAAGAAAGCACTTGCTTGAGGAACTTAATTGATAGAAACAGTGCAGCTGGACACGGCTGCCTGAGTTCAAAGGCACCGCTTTTAATCCCAAACCATTTTCATTTTACTTAACTTTTATTTCTTTCTGGGTGACTAACCTGCAAACTTCTACTAATCTACTGCCAAGTAATTTTTCTTAAGAAGGTGGATATTTTACAAGATTCATAGCCAGGAGCCTTCTGTGGGGAATGCTGGTGGTACAGCTTTGTGTAGATAAAAACAGAGGCACAGGAAAGTAGGTCGTCCTGTTTTGTATGTGAAACAGACTCTGTCTCTGGCAAGTTCGCTCCAGTTGAAAACAATAAGGCACTACTAGTCCGTCTTTAAGTCTGGAAATGTAATGCCTCCGGCAGTACTTGATCTTGGAGAGTGGAGCCTGGTGTTTTTTCATAGTTGGGATTTTGTGTTAGTAGAACAACCAGAATGTCAACCGATGCAGAGAGAGCCATCCAATTCACACGTATGCAGCTAGAGAGACAGCTCAGCTTCAGGAGATGACATTTAGCACTTTGAGGATGAACAAGAGTATAGAATGGCCTACCACAGCCATTGCTAGTACCAGAGATCTATAACACTGCTTTCAAACATTCATACTCTGTGATGTTTTTAATGGCCATTTGAGAGTTTAAAAACTTATAAAATGACCAGGTATAATGCATTCAACAGAAGTAATTTCTTGAAAATAGCAAACAGTGAAACAGGCCAGTTTTGTCTGTTCTATTTCCATAAAATGAATAATACATTTGATCATTTGGCCACCCTGAATAACTAACACAGATCAATAATGCAGCCACTTTTTTTTTACTACATATTTATTTTCTAAGAGGAAATTTTGATTTATGGAGATTATTGGTGTCTCTCTGTTTGGTGACTTCCAGGCTTTCTGCAGTCTTGCAAATAACTACTTAGCAGTTTTGTTCTGGTATTCTTCATTTTTGATGGACCAGCATATTAGTCTTAATTGGCTTTTAATGCGTGTTCCAGAAAAGTTAAGAAACATATCTGGTTTCTTAAATGTTTTTAACAACATTTAATTAAATGTTGTATGGAGGTTGTTTGGTACACCATCCTTTAAGGCTGGCACTGTGGAACGTGAAGCAGTAATTGAAAATCAGTGGGCAAATGAGCAATCTTAAAATAGTGTAATCATTAACTGGTCAAGAAAATGTACCACTTCCCACCCACTAAAATTACAACTGTTAAAAAAAACACAGAATAAATGTTGAGAAGGATGTGGAGAGAATGGACCCCTTATTCATTGTTGATGAGAATGTAAAACAGTGTATCTGCTCAAGAGACCAGTATGACAGTGCCTCAAAAATTAAAAACAGAATTGCCATATAACTTAGTAATTCTGCTTCGACTGTGTACCAAAAAGAAGTGAAAGCAGGATCTCTAAGAGATATTTCTACACCCATGTTAATAACAGAATTATTCACAATAGCCAGAGAGTAGAAGCAACCCAAGAATCCACCAGGAGATAAACAGAACATGTTTGCACATACAATGGTCCTGTTATTTGATGTTTGCTTTTAGAGGTTTCTGTCACCAGCAGGCAACCATGTCCAAAAGTATCAAATGGAAAATTCCAGAAATAAACAATTCAGAAGTTTTATACCTTTCAAAATCATTTTATTTTCCAATTATAGTTGACATACATTATTGTATTAGTTTCAGGTGTACACTCCAGTGCTTAGACATCGTGTAACTTACTAAGTTATTAACCACCCTGATAAATTTTGTAACCATTTGACACCATACATAGTTATTAGAATATTATTGACCATATTCCCTATGTGTACTTTGCATCCCCGTGTCTGTTCTGTAACTACCAGTTAGTGCTTGTTGATCCCTTCACCTTTTCACCCATCCCCCCAGCCTCCCTCTCTATGGTTTCTGTCAAAATGTTTTCTGTATTTACGAGTCTGTTTCTGTTCTGCTTGTTCATTTATTTTGTTTTTTAGATTCAATTGTTGATAGACATGTATTTATTGCCATTTTATTGTTTATATATATATTTCTTAAGATTTTATTTATTTATCTTTAGAAGGGAAGGGAAGGAGAGAGGGAGAGAAATATCAATGTATGGTTGCCTCTCGTGCATCCCCTGCTGAGAACTGGCCTGCAACCCAGGCATGTGCCCTGACTGGGAATTGAACCTCCATCCTCTGGTTCACAGGCCTGTGCTCAATCCACTGAGCTACACCAGCCAGGGCTATTGTTTATATTTTTATCTTTTTTTCTTCTTCTTCTTCTTCTTCTTAAAGAAGATCCTGTAACATTTCATGTAATACTGGTCTGGTAGTGGTGAACTTTAGCTTTTTCTTGTTTGGGGAGCTCTTTATCTGTTCTTCAATTCTAACAAATAGCTTTTCTGGATAGAGTAATCTTGGTTGTAGGTCCTTGCTTCTCATCAGTTTGAATATTTCTTTCTTTTCTTTATATTTAAAAATTTTTTATTGGTTGATTTTTTTGTCGTTGTTAGAGAGAGGGAGAAAGAGAAACATCAATTTCTTGCTCCACTTATTTATTCATTCACTGGTTTAATTCTTATATGTGCCCTGACCTGAGATTGAATCCATAATCTTGGTACATTGGAACAATGCTCTAACTAACTGAGCAACCCAGCCAGGGCTGGAAATTTTTTACCAATCCTTCTGGCCTACAAAGTTTCTGTTCAAAACTCAGCTGACAGTCTGTGTGTGTACCATCTCTGAAAATACTGCAATACCAGGTTGATATGTGGAGTAGACAGAAGGTGCTCCTATTCCATATCCTAACCCCAGATATCCACTTAATCTATTGACTGTGGATAAAGGACATATCGTATATTAAACTGATAACAATAGATACTGCACTTTATCTTAGCAAAAGGCTAAGAAATGATCAGTTGACAGTCTTATGGAAGCTCCCTTTTACTTAGCTAACTGCTATTTTCTTGCTGCTTTTAAGATTCTCTCTGCCTTTAAACTTTTACACTTTAATTATGTGGTGTCTTGGGACTCTCCACAACCTGGACTTATATGTCTATTCCTTTACCTTTCCTTTAAGTTAGGAAAGTTTTCTGTCATTATTTTTCAAACAGGTTTTTAATTTCTTGCTCTCTCTCTTCTTCTGGCCCACCCATCATGCAAATGTTGGTATGCTTGAAGTTGTCCCAGAGGTTGCTGACACTATCCTCTGGGTTTTTTTAGATTCTTTTTCCTTCTTGTTATTCTGATTGGTTGTTTTTTGTTTCCTTATGTTCCAAGCCATTGATATGATACTTGGCTTTATCCACTCAACTATGATTTCCCTGTAAATTGTTCTTTATATCAATTAGTGTATCCTTCATTTCTGACTGGGTCTTTTTTATACTGTTGAGGTCCTCACTAAGTTCCTTGAGCATCCTTATAACCAGTGTTTTGAGTTCTACATCTGATAGATTGCTTATTTCCATTTTGTTTAGCTCTTTTTCTGGAGGTTTGATCTGTTCTTTCATTTGGGCCGTGTTTCTCTGTCTCCTTGTTTTGGCAGCCTCCCTGTGTTTGTTTCTATGTATTAGATAGAGCTACTTTGACTCCATGTCTTGGTAGAATGTCCTAATGTAGTACGTGTTCCATGAGCTTCAGCAGCACAAACTCCTCGATCACCCAAGCTGTGTGTGGGCTATGTACACCCTTCTCCTGTAATTGAGGCTTGATTGTTGTTGGCATGTGAATTGGAAGGATTTACCCCCAAACCAATCACCTGCAAAGAATGCTTGTGACCATGACCTCTGTGGTCACAGACCTCTGACCACAGTGGTGGATCAGCTGTGCAGAGGCCCTCCCTCCAGGGCTGGATTTACTTCAACAAGGCTCTGGTTCCTGCTGAGTCTGCCCCTTAGTGTTTTGCTTGTGGTAGTGGTTGGCTGGTGATGCTTCAACATGGTCTAAAGCTGTCTACTGGCTGTGCTGGCTCTGGCACCTCCTAGCAGGTGCAGACCAAGGTCACCTGGCTTAAGCTATAAGGCGATCTGCTGATGGCTGCTACTTGTGCTGGGCTTGGAGATGTCCAGATGAGTGCCAGCCATGAACCAAGGCTGGCTACAACTGGTGCTGGGCCTGGGTCTACTTACCAAGAAGTACGGGGCAGGCTGAGACCAAATGCTGCTTATTTGAGAGATTGTAGGGAAGTCTGAAGCCTGAGCCAAGACAGGCCATTCATATGGAAAAGCCACAGGAAACAGTTTGGGTGGGCCCAAAAGTTTGGTGGGGTGGGGTCTCAGAGAATCACCACCAGGACAGGGCAAACTGTGAGCCAGCTTGATGGAGGCTCAACTATGACATCTGCTTGTCCACTCTGTAGGGGGAATGGCTCAGGAAAGGAACAATGACCTCTGCCAGCACTTCTGTCTGGGACAGAGCTACTCCCCCACTCTCGCCCTGATGCTGGACAATTCAGTTCCTCCTCATATGTCCCTGGTGCTTTCAAGCTGCTGCCCCAGTCCTGGAGCTCAGAGGGAGTGAGTGCGAGTCGGTTCATACATGGGCCCTTTAAGTGGAACTGCTCTCTATTTTCCTCAGCCTCAATCCCTGCTGGCTTTTATGGCTTTTATGGCTCTTCCTGGCATTGGAACCCTGACATGGGGAACCCAGTGTAGGGCTGGAACCCTTTGCTCCTCAGGAAGGACCTTTGTAGCCAAGATATTCCTCTCGATTTTTATCCACCACACGTGGGTGTGGGACCAGCCTCTTCTCCATCTCTGCTTTTCCTACCAGTCTCAATGTGGCTTCTTCTTTAATTCCCTAGTTGTAAGACTTCCATTCAGCCAGATTTCAGACAGTTCTGAATGATGATTGTTTGGTAGTTTAGTTGTAATTTTGTTGTGGTCATAGGAGGAGGTGAGTGCCTCATTAACCTACACCACCATTTTGTTCATAAGTCTATAATTCTTAAGTTTTTAACTGTGAACCATCTGAATAGTGTGATAAAATCTTGCTCCATGCCACTGCATTTCTCCTTTTATATTGTATTTACACTGTGCATACTCTGTGCCTGTTAGTCAGTAGTGAACTCAATTATCTGACTGACCATCCCAGCATCTCAGGGTTTGTGCTCAAGTAACCCTTTTTATACTTATTGGCCCCGAAGTATAAGATCAGTGCTGCTGGCAATTCGGATATGCCAAAGAGACACTGTAAAGTCCTTTCTTTCAGTGAAAAGGTGAGTACAGCACAATAAGATATTTTGAGAGAGACTAAATCCACATAACTTTAATTACAGTAAATTATAGGGAAAAACATAGTATATACAGGTGTCAGTACTATCCACAGTTTCAGGGACCCACTGGGGATTTTGGAACATATCCTCATAGACAAGAGGGGACTATTATTCACCGTTTAAAAGAAAGGAAATTCTGACGCATGCCACAACATGGATGAACCTCTAAGACATTATGCTAAAGGAAATAAGGCAGTCACAAAAGGACAAATACTTTATGATTCCACTTGTATGAGAGACCTAAAGTAGTCAGATTCATAGAGACAGAAAAAATGGTGGTTGCCAGAGCTTGGGTGAGGGTGGGGGATTCTGATGGATTCTAGTTATTTAACAGGTATAGAGTTTCAATTAGGAAGGAGGAAAAGTTTCAGAGCTAGATGATGGTAAGGGTTGCACGGCAATGTGAATAATGTACGTATGCTACTGAGCTATACACTTAAAAATTGTTAAAATAGTAAATTTTATCTTATAAGTATGTTTTCACAACAAAATATTAGATCAAGGAGTTACCTTTAAAAAAAGTGCCCTGGCTGGTGTGGCTCAGTGGATAGAGTGCTGGCCTGTGAACTGAAAGATCTCCAGTTTGGTCCCCAGTGAGGGCACACGCCTGGGTTGCAGACTAGGTCCCTAGTTGGGGGCCTGCAAGAGGCAACCAATCAATGTTTCTCACAGCTATATTTCTCTTCCTTTCATCCTCCCTTCCCCTCTCTCTAAAAGTAAATAAAAATAAATAAAAGTAAACTGTCACTGATCTTAAAAGCAACACGTAAAAAGAAGAAAAGAAATACAGAATGCAGTAACAGACACATGGTGCTGCCTTCACTGGGCTTGTATTGATTGTTTCCTGCCTGTTCCAAGAGCCAGGGATGCCTTTTGTCCTGCATTTTAAATTACTCTGCACCCACACCTTCCCTCTCCCCTTGTCTGAGAAATGTCTCACTATTCCTCTGTCCTTTCCTCATCACTTCCATCTTCCATATGTCTTCACCTCCACTGTAGGAGTCAAGCAGAGATGTACAGAGACATTTGGCTGGGAAATGCTGGTGGCAGGGATGTCCATACAACATGCTCAGACCGAGTTTCTTAAACTTGTCTTTTATCACCTTGATGGGAGGACTGCAGGAAGGGAAGTTGAAGGTGTGGGGGACAATGGTACAGGAGAACTCTACAACTGTGAGCTGATTTTTGCCCCAAAGCTTTGTACCAAATAATAATGACCCATATAATCAAGAGAAAGGTGAATCTTTACTAGGAAAAGGAGTCCTAATTTTAAAAGGAACCTACCAGTTTTTTGGTTTGCTCTTCAGGAAGTCTTACTTGGTAAAAGCTGCCCACAGAAAAATGTGATTTTGCAGGATTCACTATAGTTTTGGCCCAGGTTGGTTTGGTTCCCCTCCCCTCACTTCTAGGCAAATGATTCATCATGATATGTAATTGAGTTGCTCCCTTACCCCTCATCTATCTGAATTTCAGGATCGAAGCTGTCCAGATTTGGGGAAGAAGTTGGACATTGGCCATTATGCTGGCTTTGATAGCTATATACGTTGCTCCACTTTAAAATTTTTTCTAAATATGCTTTAATATTGAATATTGGACATAGCTCTTTATTAATAGCTATAACAATTGATAGGCTTGCACAAAGGGCCTACCTCTGCAGACTCAGAAGATGAGACTCCCTATTGTCACACTCACAGAGAAAAGTAGAAACTGGTGCTGCTTTAAGAAATACCCTTGAACTAAATCTCCTTTCTCTATTCCTCCAAGCTTCCGCAGGTTCACCCGATCCAACAGTGTGACGACAGCAGTGCAGGCTGACCTGGACTTCCACGATAATCTGGAAAACTCTCTGGAGTCTATAGAGGACAATTCATGCCCGGGCCCAACCGCCAGACAGTTCTCCCGGGACGCCAGCACCTCCACTGTCAGCATTCAGGGCTCAGGAAACCATTACCACGCCTGCACAGCTGACGACGACTTCGATGCGGATTTTGACCCTTCGATTCTGCCTCCCCCGGATCCCTGGATTGACTCCATCACTGAAGACCCCATGGAGGCCGTTCAAAGATCAGTGTGCCACCGGGATGGCCACTGGTTTCTGAAGCTTCTCCAGGCAGAACGAGATCGCATGGAAGGGTGGTGCCAACAGATGGAGAGAGAAGAACGGGAAAACAACCTGCCTGAAGACAGTAAGTAACACAGCTGTGCACATGTGGACACGCAGCCCTGGGGTCTGCGCTAACCTTCTGTCTCTAGACTTTGTGGTTCTTCCTTGTCACTTGGTCTAGCCCTGCGGTCTAACCCTACCGCAACCTGGACGTGCGGGAGAGCTAGCGGATTCCAGCGGCGTCCAGACGCCCCTGCGCTGCACAATAGAAAGAGGAGCGCTGATTTCGCCTTCGCTAGCTCTGGATCTTTTCCCTCCGGAAAATACCGAGCTCAGCATAGGGGTGGCTTCTTGTTCCTAATGTGATTCCTCTTCCCCAACATGTTACTGAAGGGGTGCTGATTCTCAGGAAAGTAACGGTAATTTTAACTAGTTTCGTGGATCACAGATACATGTGCATTGGGCATTTATAATCTTACTGTTTTATTACTTTCATTAACATACCGTATTAAAACGAGCTATTGATCTATAGGCCAGTA